GGGTGTCTGCGCGCCGGCTCCCCGGGGCCGCCGGCCCTCTCACCGGCGGCTTCCTCCTTGCTCCCCCGGGTTTTTACCTTTCTGGGACGTTTCCTTTTAGATCGATTTTTAAAAGACGGTGCCTGCCGCACGCGGCCTCTCTGGATGTCTTCGGTTGCGAGCCCAGGTCAGGTCCAGTGGAAGGCCTGGGACCCTATGGCTGAACACAAAGGGTTTGTCGTGTGAGTGTCTGCGCAGACCCAGCGGAGGCCGGTGGTGAGGGCGCCTGGATTGCTGGGGCCTGTTGTCCCCCTCCAACCTGACTCATCCAGCTCAGTTCTCCTTTTATCGGTAGTTTTTTAAAGGGTTTCTCTCCTAAAAAAACAAAACAAGCAAACGAACCCCAACCCTCAAACCAAAACTTTTGACAATAGTTGGTGTGGCAGGGATGACATTGGTCATTTTGATCCACCTCTGCCACTTTAGACAGACCACACACAATTTACAGGTCTCGCGTTTTTCATCTGAAGATGAGGGAGCGGGAAATAAACGATTTTTCCCGCCGTAGTTTTGATGCTTTTTGCCGTCAATAAAACAAACTTCATTTTATTTATTATAATTATTATTCGTTGTTTACTTTGTTTCAGACATGTAGTGCGAAACAAACTGCTGTGCTTGCCCATTTTCTTGGTTTTAAGATGAATATTAAAACATATGTACTTTGTTATAAACTAAAAATATGTTCAGGGTAGTTAATTCGGAGCATCATGATAAACAGATTCAAATAAAAGTAATTATCCTGTAACAGGAGGTAGTCACGGCTAACATTTTGGTACATCGGTTTTAGCCAATAAATATTTTTTTAAGAAACAAAATTGGGAATATGCTGCATATGCTCCTGAAAACCAGTACAGTATACCACGAATGCCCCAAGTGGGGAGTTTAAACTTACCTCGGGAGATTTTCAGCTGGCCCGTGAGAATTTCTCTTTCTCTTTTTATCTTAGTCTGCGCCGGTGCCACCTTTTCTGGACAGGGGACTGTATCGTGCCTGTACTGGGAGTGTAAACAGGGACTCTGGACCAGCCCTCCATCTGCTGTTGCTGAGGAGCTGTAGTCACAGGCTTTGGGGTGGACTGCATGGGGCCAGTGGCCCACATCTGCCACTTCCTAGGTGTGCCATCCATGTGGGGAAGCAGCTGAGCCTGCGTGGTGAATGTAGTAGACAGTGTGGAGTATGAGCCATGACGCAGTAAGCATAAACGTTATTTATTATTTTTCTGAAATTCCTTCAGAACTTGATGCTGAGTGGCACTGTGGGACGATGATGAAGGTTGCACCTTCCTTCTGAAGACAAATGTGAGGGCTGTCACAGGGGAAGTGCAGTGTGATGCAGGAACCTGCAAGGTAATAAATACCAACGAAAGTAAAATGGGCCAAATCGTACAGCGAAGGGCTTAGGCTTCCATTTGATGAAGGGACGTGTGAGAGCTAAAGACGAGAGAGTTCAGTGGGTGACTTCTCCTTTAAGGGCAACTTTCAAAAACATTTTCTATTTTTTTAAGTTCACGCACCTTTTGTTGAGTAGCATGCAAAGTGCCTTCTTTCGTTGTGACCAGGGCACGCTTTGGTGGCCAACGTTCCGGAAGTCAGACCCAGGCAGGGCTGCGGCTGTGGTGCCACCTGGCCACTGACAGTTGTTTGGCAGCACAAATGGGCTTCTGCGGCCAGAACGGACCAGTCGTGACCGTGACACCAGAAGCACCTCTCCAGGCTTTCAGAAACCATTTTTAAATTAAAGCAGAACGGGGTTGAGTCTGCAGTGTTCTGAGTAACAATCTTAAATGTTACCAGAAATATTTTAAAACTGCCATTCTGATGGCTTATCGCACCGTTTTCCTGAAAGTGTCAGTGCCGTGTATTCTCGGCGATAAGTCGACCTAATCTTGACATAAGTCTTTCCACTCTATAAGTTCTCACTGAAACCCAACTGAACTTCCCCAAGTTGTCTTTGACAAAATTACAAAGAAAATTTAAAAACCACATTGTGAATTTGGCTGTGTGTTTAAGGAAATGATTGGAATGATAAACATAGTTTTATTCATCACAATGCCAGACTATTACGTGAAGTGAAAGCATAATGCAGAGGAAATAACGTTTGTTTTGGGTATATTTTCCTCGTTTGGGGTGTGTGTGTGTGTGTGTGTGTGTGATTTTTGCAACTGCACAGATTTTACATTTTTTAATTGTTAAATTTTACTGACCTAAAAAATTTTTTTATGGCTTTTGCCTTTGTACCATGTGTAGGGA